TAGGATAGGCTGCTCATAGGGGATAAACATGCTCTCAACAATGGTATTCCTGCGGTCTTCCAGTATGAGCTCCGCGACCTGCTCGGTGATGCCAGTGGTGATCACTAGGCCCTCAATCTCTTGCTGCACCCCAGGTCCAAAGTGGATGACATTGCCATATCCCAGGGCAGCCGCCTCCTCGTTCAGCTCCGCAAGCTTGTCCTAGTTGGCTCCACAGTTGGCCACATAGACCGGAGATCGCTGCTCCTCCAGTGATGGGCTTCCAGGCGGGGAGAAAGACATCGGCTTGGTCATCGCAGCCTCACACGCCGCCAGCGCCTCCCCGATCATCGGGTCGTAGTCACCAAGGGGGCGGGTGGGTGCAGACCAAAGGTCACCAGTGCACGTCTCCTTGTAGAAGTCCAGCATTAGGTCCGGGTGCCTTGGTGGCGGTGGTGGCGCTCCAACCGCTCTAGGAAGTGTCCCCAAGAGCAGGGCAGAGCTAAGGTCCCCCTTGCCGAAGTCCATGGCCACCTCCCCGCATTGAGATTTGGCCGTAGGGGAGCGTGATCTGCGGCACTCCCAGTCAGCATCCTCTCGTCGCAACGGATCACGCATGCGCGGGGAGTTGTGGTCGTCGCACACCAGCTGCCTGCCACGACCGCCTCGTTTCGATGTCTCCACACTCTCATCAGCATTCCACTGCCTGGTCGGTGGTGGGGAGCGGGTGCACTGTCTGGTACCACCCCCATTGCTGGTGGAGTCTCTAGCGCGGCGCAGCAGGTTGAGTGCCTACCTGCCCCAATCAAGGAAGCCCCGAGAGTGGTGCCGCTGGCCATCGCCAGCTCCATGTCACCATCATGTCCTCTAGCAGGTGCGGCCCTAGGAGGTGGGCGGCAAGCATCTGCCCTTGGCCTCGCGCGGAAGCCGTCCAGCACGCCAGGAGTCCAGTCTTCAAAGTTGTAGATCCTGGGGTACTCATCCGACTCAGAAGAGACAGAGGAGGGAGCCCCACTGGCCCGAGCTGGGGGTGCAGGTCCTGGGGGCTCCAGTCTTCTACCAAGTTGAGGTGGATGAGCAGGTTGTGGCTCATGCCACGCGAAGGTGGAGCCACCTCACTGGGCCGCGCCTCTATCCCGGCCACTGGCGGCGCCTGGCCCACACCGTGCATGAAGAAAGTCACCGTCTTGGCGCGCTGTAGTAGGTCAGGGTACCACATCCAGGCCCAGCAATATAGCATGTCCGAATCCTGCTGTCGGAACGTGGCGCGGTCAATCTTGTCAAAGAGGCAGACCTCGCCCAGCATCTCCCTGAGTGCCGCAAGGTTCCAGGCGTGCCTAGGCAGGTGCTCAATGGCCATCCTGACGTGGTACCACCAGGTGACCTCCCCGCCATGTGCATGCTCGCACCACAGAATGACATTGAAGAGGACGCCCTTCACCCGCACAGTGCCAACTCGGAGTGCCAGGGTCCTCTGGTGAGCCTGCTAAAAAACGATCATGAAGTCCTCCGGGCGGTGGCGCGTCGTGCGCATCTTGTTTGGTGGCATGCGAACATAGCCAGCCACGACTCTGCTCACGTCACCAATGTTGATGTCAACATGCGGCGGTCTGGCCCGCGCCACCAGGATCACAGCATTGGTGCGGAGCCTGGTGGCCTCCGCCATCATGTCCGGCGAGGTAATCAGCGCCGCGCTGCCCGAAGCCGGGCGGTTCTCCAGCATCCCCGGGTACCAGGCCATTAGGTCCTCCTTCGTCGGGGTCGGCGGCTCCTTGGCGGCTTCCTTTTTGCACCCCTTGACTGCGTCCGGCTCACCTTCCACCTGCGCTAGCGCAGGGAAGACGAGACGGCTCTGGATGGTCGGCGCTACTTGCTTACGGAAGGAAAGGAGGGAATGGATGGAGGATCTAGGGGGCTTTAGTCTGGTTAGGATCGGTGGTCGATGGGAACCTGCCCGCTTTGCAGGGCAGTGACGGGCAAGGTGGCCGCTGCGGCGACAAGCCAGACAACGGATAGGGTCGCGACAGTCAGCGAGTTTATGGTCTTGCCCAAGGCATCGGAAGCACCTGCCGGCGAAGGAGGTTTTATAGCCCGCCGGCGGGCCGGACCTCCCCGCCACGAGCAGCGGTCTCCATTGGGGCTTTACTCTGCTATGCAGACGGCTCAGATGGGCATTAACCCGAGCAGTTGGTGGGTGCGAGCGAACCGCGTCACAGTAACTCCGTTCCCCCCTCGGCGCACCCCGAATGGGATCGTTCGGCGCCTCGGGACGGTGAAGCTCACACACAACAGCACAATTTGTGAAAGTTTGTCGATTACCTCGCCCTTGCCGTGGCCATCCATGCGCGCCTCCGTCGTCGGCGCAGCAGCAGAGGGGTTAATGTCCCTGGCACCGCCGCAGCGCGTCGCATCGCCTACGGTGTCCAACCAGGCTCCCTCAGCGCGCACCAGTTGTGCCCCCTGGTCCGAGGCACGCGTCGATGTTGAAGCCGGCTGCGGGCCATTGATGACGTGGCCCACGCCAGCAGAGCTCGGGGCAGGGCCATGAAGAACGCGCTCTCCCACGCCTCCTGACCCTCCAGTAGCCATAGCCCGTCGGCTATTGGGGTAGCCTTGCTGCATGGATGATTCCGGCGCCTCTAGGGAGGCCGGATGGGGTGCTTGAAGAGCGCCCATGGGGAGTAGGCGCTCAGCCGCAGCAGTGCCACCGGCGCCGGCCAAATCGAGGCGGGCGGCGGTAGTAATTGCGCCTGCACCCCCTGCATCTCCTCGCAGCCCTTCCTTATCGCCGCGCAGGTCTCCAGCAATCGAGATTTGCCGGTCGCCCGTGTGCAGTCTCTGAGCCCGCCGGATCTAGATCTTGGACCTTCCCCCTCCCCGCCGGATCTGGGTCTTGGACCTTGCTCGTTAACAGCTGGCCAAAGGCGCCGTCCGCATCTTCAATGGATCCCCAATTGAGGAGCTCCGGATCTGCCTCCTCTCCCGTACCTTCCCCTGGTGGCAGCTTCTTGGGGTCGTCGTCCTCCGGTCTGTGGTCGTGGCCGCCAGCGGCACGGGCGCCCGCTGGACGGAGAGCGTCTCCCATGTCCCCCTCAGAAAATAGAAAAGATAAACATAGTGTCTACAACATTTGATCCCAGCCGCTATTGTTTTAATCAAGTGGCATGTGTGTTGTGTATACTTGTACACCAGGTCTACTTGATGAGAAGGGCATCTTTCTATTGACTTATTATTAAAGGCAATATACAAATTCTTTTTTTTTAGAGAACGCGCTTAGGCGTGTATTTCATTAAGGGCAATATACAAATTCTAGAAGGCTATTAATTTTTGTAATGACACAAAATACAAGGCTTATCCCCAAAGCAATATAATACACATAAAAAAGAAATGCATTCACAACTATCCACTTCATCCGTTCCTCAGCGCACACACCTTGGAGACATGATGCTCTATGTGGAAAAACTGTGCGCCCTGTAACTTCAAGGAAATTATTAGAACCCAGGTCCCGTGCTTAATCAAGCCATGAATCAGAGCTGACTAGGTTAGCCTATGCTTGCCGGTAGCTTCTGAGCTACAAATACCGTGCATTGCTGCAAGAAGAAACGCGTCCTAGAATCCCAGGCCTGCTTACAAAGTAAAGCGAAATAATCAGCAAGATAGTATGAGACCATCAAATAGAAAATTAACTTATTTAAGATGGAGATTTTTTTTTCTGGTAACACTTGTTGTCTTACAAGTATGTTAATATATAATCGATCTCTTCGCCGCAATGTCGTAATCCCAAAGTATCTGACTAGATCCACAAGACTAAACCTCCTGTAGAGGAAATGATGTTCAACGTGAAGTATTAGAAAATCCAATGCTCTGTCTATTTTGATCCCAACCGCCAAATTTTTAATTGAGTGCCATGTATGATGCGTGTACACCAGTTGTACCTGATGGGAAGAGCATATTATTTCTGTGAGTCAGACACTACCCATAAGATCACGAACAATGTGATGGTACATGAATGGATATAGATGCTCTGATGTGTATCTGCATCAGAAATTCAGAACTGACTACGTCAGCCTATGTTGCAGGCAGATTTTGCAACTGCAAATGCTGTGCGTTGCTCCAACAAGGAACGCGTCCTGCGATCCTGGTTCCTGGACATGGTTTCTGGTATATGATAAGAGGGGTATGAATTTATGAAAACAAAACAACAATATGTGTTAACTGTTAAGCAAATTAAATGGGAGTATGGTCGAATTTCCAACTGTGAAGCAAAGAGAACAAGAGTTTTCGCTGAAAACTGTCGCCACGATGTAGCCATGTGGTCCACAAACTGTTGCCACGATTCTTTGAACCTATACTGGAGGAAATTGATGCTCAAAGTGAAGCATTAGAAAAGATAAACATAGTGTCTACAACATTTGATCCCAGCCCCTATTTTTTTAATCAAGTGGCATGTGTGTTGTGTATACTTGTACACCACGTCTACTTGATGAGATGGGCATCTTTCTATTGACTTATTATTAAAGGCAATATACAAATTCTTTTTTTTAGAGAACGCGCTTAGGCGTGCATTTCATTAAGGGCAATATACAAATTCTAGAAGGCTATTAATTTTTGTAATGACACAAAATACAAGGCTTATCCCCAAAGCTATATAATACACATAAAAAAGAAATGCATTCACAACTATACACTTCATCCGTTCCTCAGCGCACACACACCTTGGAGACATGATGCTCTATGTGGAAAAACTGTGCGCCCTGTAACTTCAAGGAAATTATTAGAACCCAGGTCCCGTGCTTAATCAAGCCACTGCATGGAGCGTGGACGGTGGATCACAGGAATCAAATGTGGAAGGATTATCCCTACCTTTTTCACCTGCCCTTGGTCCCACCCTTAAATAGACAGGAGCCTCAACTAAATTCGAGTGAAGAAACTAAGAATTAAACTCGCAAGCATATTTTGCTTACCTCTCTGCTCCCTCTCCTTTCTTGAACTCCTCCCTGTGCCATCCCTGCTGCCACTCCATGGCTGATCCTAGCATGATATGTGCTGTTCTGCAGCCTGTGTGTGGCTTCATCAATGAAGCAGGGGTTCCTGCAGCCACTGCAAGAGGTGTCTCATCTTTCGCCTGCATCAAGCGCAACCTCAGAGACCTCACAAAAGCCATGGAGGACCTGCAAGCTGTCGAGAAGGTGGTTCGAGGACAAGTTGCGCTTGAGACCAACAACCTCAACGAGTGCCATCCTCAAGTCAGCCTGTGGCAGACGAGGGTCCTCCATGTCCTAGTCGACCCCATCGTCCAAGAATCTGATCAATTGTTTCAATCCTCTTGTTTATGTAGTTCTTCTCTAAGCCTTAGGAAAAGATACTGTCTTGGCAAACGTGTCGCCGAGATGTTGGAGGATGTAGATAGGCTAATCAGAGAAGGGAAACAATTTGATACGTTTGCATCCAAACGTTTGCCAGATTCTGTCGAGGAGCAACCACGGACGAAAACATTTGGCTTCGAGCCAGTCCTGAGGGATCTTGGGAAATATTGTGACAGCACCAATGTGAGCATCATCGGAGTTTGTGGTCCAGGAGGTGTTGGAAAGACGACACTCCTTAACACGTTCAACAATGAGCTCAAAGCATGTGGCAGGGATTACCAGGTATGCAAGGCTCTCCAAAATCCAAATAAACTAGTCAGTTAAATTTAGCATGAAAATTTAAATAAACATTCTTATCTGTTCCTAAAAGGAGTTAGCTGAGTGACCCTCGGATTACATCGTTAGTCAAATTACTCCTTTTCAATTTACAACAAAATTTGTAAATCATGATTTTTCTCTTGTTTTATGTTCGATGCCTTTTGCCTTCCCCATGCAAAGCCCTATGCAGTCTGCAGGCCTCTCTTGAGCTTTACATGATTATTAGTCTTGTGTGAGTATGGCAACACAACTTTTAGAATGGTCTAAATCATGCAAATCAGATATAGAGGTACTGATATAGGGAGGATATGCTCTATAGCCTTGCATTATTTCAAGATTGAACTCAATCGCGTCCACATTCTACAAAAAATAAAACCTATAAATACTTATCTTTCAAGTAGGGTTTATTGTCTGACGGGAAGGAGGTTTGGGTGGCTAGCTGCTCCAGCTTTGGAGCAAGCGACCCAGGTTCGAATCCTTGGGTCCCCGCTCTTGCTAGAGTTGGAGGGCAGCTTGGCCAAGGGGAGCTAATTGTCTGTTGTCCGGATAAATGATCAGTATTACTTATTCAGCTCTCAGATCACAAACAGATGCATTGTGACGTTTACTTCTCAGATGTAGGTTAAATTTGCATAATTTTCCTTTTGTTTATAGTAATTTTATATCCTTTTTAACTTCTTGAGCAGCAGATTAACTCTCCCTCTAACACACTTCATACCCGTAAAATTAAAAATTTACCGAGGGCAGTTCAACTGTATCCTAATACTTTTTTGTTGCCACAATAATTTTGATAGGTGGTGATCATGATTGAGGTGTCCAATTCTAAAACTCTAAACAAAGCAGCAATCCAGAGTACAATTACAGACCGTCTTGGGTTGCCATGGGATGACAGACAGACAGAGGAAGCTCGTGCGAGGTTCTTAATGAAAGCACTGAGAAGAAAGAAGTTTGTAATTTTATTGGATGATGTCTGGAACAAATTCCAACTAGAAGATGTTGGGATCCCTACCCCTGATTCTGAGAGCAAAAGCAAAGTAATTCTCACATCACGTTCTGTGGATGTGTGCTATCAAATGGGAGCTCAACAGAGCTTGATCAAGATGGAGTACCTAGAGAAGGAGGCAGCATGGGAGCTCTTCCGAAGCAATTTGAGCACTCAGGCAATTGCAGCCATTGATTCATCTGGCCCCAACAATGCTGTAAAACAACATGCTAATGCAATTGTCCAAAGCTGTGGTGGTTTGCCACTAGCACTCAAGGTGATAGCGAGTGCTGTGGCAGGGCTGACAACACCAAGTGAATGGAGTTTGGCAATGCAAGCAACCAAGCATGACATCAAGGATATAGATGGAATCCCAGAAATGTTCCATAAACTGAAATATAGTTATGATAAGTTGACACAAACACAGCAGCAATGCTTCCTGTATTGCACCCTTTTCCCTGAATATGGTTCAATTAGCAAAGATCAGCTTGTGGAATACTGGATGGCAGAAGAATTGATACCTCCAGATCCCAACAGAGGTCATCGCATAATCAATCGCTTGCTCTCAGCATGCTTATTGGAGAGCTGTGGATCTGATTTAGAGGTAAAAATGCACCATATTATTCGTCATCTGGGATTGTCCCTTGCAGTGCAGCAAAAGATTGTTGTGAAGGCTGGAATGAACTTGGAAAAGGCACCACCACACAGAGAGTGGCGAACAGCAAGAAGGATATCACTCATGTACAATGACATAAGAGACCTTGGTATCTCACCAGAATGCAAGGATCTTGTAACATTATTGGTCCAAAATAATCCTAACTTGGACAAGCTAAGTCCAACCTTCTTCCAGTCCATGTACTCTTTGAAGGTACTTGATCTATCACACACCAGAATTAAAGAACTTCCTCTATGTAGCACATTGGCGAAGCTCAAGTTTCTCAATTTGTCTCACACATTCATTGAGAGACTTCCTGAAGATTTCTGGATGCTCAAAAAACTAAGACATCTAGATTTAAGTGTTACCAAGGCACTGAAAGAGACCTTAGATAACTGTTCCAAGCTTTACAAGCTAAGGGTGCTAAACCTCTTCCGAAGCAATTATGGGATTCGCGACGTGAATGATCTGAACATTGATTCCTTAAGGGACCTGGAATTCCTTGGGATCACAATCTATGCTGAGGATGTCTTAAAGAAGCTGACAAATACACATCCTCTAGCCAAGTCAACACAGCGTCTTAGCCTCAAGCACTGTGAACAGATGCAGTCAATCCAAATATCAGACTTCACACATATGGTGCAACTTCGAGAACTCTATGTTGAATCATGTCTTGACTTGATACAACTTATTGCTGACCCTGACAAGGGAAAAGCTTCCTGCCTGCAAATTCTCACCCTTGCTAGACTGCCTTCCCTCCAAACTATTCTTGTTGGGTCTTCGCCTCATCACTTCCGCAACCTCCTAGAAATAACAATCTCTCACTGCCATAAATTGCATGACATCACCTGGGTTCTGAAGCTGGATGCACTTGAGAAGCTTTCTATCAGCCATTGTAATGAACTGGAGCAAGTTGTTCAAGAAACAATCAACAAGGTGGACAACAGGAGAGGGGGGATTGAGCACAACATTGTTCAGAGATCTGGGATAATAAATGGTTTCTCTGAAGAACAGGAGATACATTGCATGGTAGAAGATGCATATAATGAACATGTAAAAGGCTATCAGAACAAGACAGAGAATGAGCAGATCAAGGGTGTGCATCATGTGGGCTTCCCAAAACTGAGAGCAATGGTTCTGACAGACCTGCCAAAGCTGACGGCAATATGCAATCCAAGAGACTTTCCTTGTCTTGAGATTATTAGGGTGGAGCGTTGCCCACGTTTCACAGCACTTCCACTGGGTCAAATGTCTGACTGCCCAAAACTAAAGCAGATTTGTGGATCATATGACTGGTGGAAGAAGCTAGAGTGGAATGGCAAGGAGACAATAGAGAATAAGTATTTCATCCCAATCAAAGATGAAGACTAGCATTCTCATGAAAAACAAATACAGGTACTGCGCGCATTACTGATAATTTTTCTGTTCAAGATCTAATTGCCCACCTGTAAACTTACTTATTCGATCCATATGTTCAAAGTCCTAAATAAGTGGCTTTTGTATATGCCTATTTGTATTATGTAATACAAACTGTATACATTTTGTACACAACCTGTAAATACTGTACATATTTTACATAGACACTGTACAGATTTGTACATGTAGATGTAGTACAAATGTATATAATGTAAATCTGTTCAGATGTCCATGCACTTATCCCTCATATTCATGCAGGTTTTCTGGCAATTGAGCTGATTAACTATGTTGTAAATTTTGGATACATGATACAACAACAACAACAACAACAACAAAGCCTTTAAGTCCCAAACAAGTTGGGGTAGGCTAAAGTTGAAACCCATCAGAAGCAATCAAGGTTCAGGCACGTGAATAACTGTCTTCCAAGCACTCCTATCTAAGGCTAAGTCTTTGGGTATATTCCATCCTTTCAAATCTCCTTTTATTGCCTCTACCCAAGTCAACTTCGGTCTTCCTCTACCTCTCTTCACGTTACTATCCTGGCTTAGGATTCCACTACGCACCGGTGCCTCTGGGGGTCTCTATTGCACATGTCCAAACCATCTCAACCGGTGTTGGACAAGCTTTTCTTCAATTGGCGCTACCCCTAATCTATCACGTATATCATCGTTCCGAACTCGATCCCTTCTTGTATGACCACAAATCCAACGCAACATACGCATTTCCGCGACACTTAGCTGTTGAACATGTCGTCTTTTCGTAGGCCAACATTATGCACCATACAACATAGCAGGTCTAATCGCCGTCCTATAAAACTTGCCTTTTAACTTCTGTGGTACCCTTTTGTCACATAGGACACCAGACGCTTGCCGCCACTTCATCCACCCTGCTTTGATTCTATGGCTAACATCTTCATCAATGTCCCTGTCCTTCTGTAGCATTGATCCTAAATATCGAAAGGTATCCTTCCTAGGCACTACTTGACCTTCCAAACTAACATCTTCCTCCTCCCGAGTAGTAGTGCCGAAGCCACATTTCATATACTCAGTTTTAGTTCTGCTGAGTCTAAAACCTTTGGACTCCAAAGTCTCCCGCCATAACTCCAGTTTCTGATTCACTCATGTCCAGCTTTCATCAACTAGCACTACATCGTCCGCGAAAAGCATACACCAAGGGATGTCCCCTTGTATGTCCCTTGTGACCTCATCCATCACTAAAGCAAACAAATAAGGGTTCAAAGCTGACCCTTGATGTAGTCCTATCCTAATCGGGAAGTCATCCGTGTCTCCATCACTTGTTCGAACTCTAGTCACAACATTGTTGTACATGTCCTTAATGAGCCCGACGTACTTCGTTGGGACTTTATGTTTGTCCAAAGCCCACCACATAACATTCCTTGATATTTTATCATAAGCCTTCTCCAAGTCAATAAAAATCATGTGTAGGTCCTTCTTCTTCTCCCTATACCGCTCCATAACTTGTCTTATTAAGAAAATGGCTTCCATGGTTGATCTTCCGGGCATGAAACTAAATTGGTTCATAGAGACCCGCGTTATTGCTCTCAAGCGATGCTCGATAACTCTCTCCCATAGCTTCATAGTATGGCTCATCAACTTAATTCCCCGATAATTAGTATAACTTTGAATATCCCCTTTATTCTTGTAGATCGGTACCAATATACTTCTCCTCCACTCATCAGGCATCTTGTTCGATTGAAAAATATGGTTGAACAGCTTGGTTAGCCATACTATAGCTATGTCCTCGAGGCATCTCCACACCTCGATTGGGATACCATCTGGTCCCATCACCTTACCTCCTTTTATCCTTTTCAACGCCTCTCTGACCTCAGATTATTGGATTCTCCGCACAAAGTGCCTATTGGTGTCATCAAAAGAGTCCTTCAACTGAAAGGTTGTGTCCATATTCTCACCATTGAACAATTTATCAAAATACTCTTGCCATCGATGTCGGATCTCATCCTCCTTCACCAAGATATGCTCCCTTTCATCCTTAATGCACTTAACTTGGTTGAAGTCCCGTGTCTTTCTCTCACGAACCCTAGCCATCCTATAAATGTCCTTCTCTCCTTCCTTCATACTCAAATATTAGTAAATATCCTCGTACGCTCTACCCTTTGCCACACTTACAGCTCGTTTTACAGTCTTTTTTGTCACCTTGTACTTCTCTATGTTGTCCACACTCCTATCATGGTACAAGCGTCTATAGCATTCTTTCTTCTCCTTAATAGCCCTTTGGACTTCCTCGTTCCACCACCAAGTATCTTTAGCCTCGCCTCCACTTCCTTTGGTTACTCCACACACCTCTGAGGCCACCTTCCGAATGTTGGTTGCCATCTTCTCCCACATGTTGTTTATGTCGTCTTCTTCCTTCCAAGAGCCCTCTTTGATAACCCTTTCTCTAAATACCTCTGACGTCTCCCCTTTCACTTTCCACCACTTTATTCTTTGAATCTTAGCTTGTTTATCCCTACGGACACGCACCTGAAAACGAAAATCTGCCACCAAAAGCTTATGTTGAGAAACAACACACTCCCCTGGTATCACCTTGCAATCCAAGCATGCCCGTTTGTCCTTTCTTCTTGCGAGGACAAAGTCAATCTGACTACAGTGTTGTCCGCTACTGAAGGTCACTAGATGAGATTCTCTCTTTCTAAAGAAAGTGTTGGCTATCATCAGGTCAAAAGCTACCGCGAAGTCCAGAACTTCCTCCCCCTCCTGATTCCTACTACCATACCCAAGACCTCCATGAACTACCTCGAAACCTGCGCTTGTAGTACCTACATGCCCATTAAGATCTCCTCCTATAAAAAGCTTCTCACTACTAGGTATAGCTCTAACCAGGCCATCTAAGTCTTCCCAGAACTGTCTCTTAGCACTCTCGTTGAGGCCTACTTGGGGCATACGCACTAATTACGTTCAAGACCATATCACCAACGACAATCTTGACTAAGATAATCCTATCTCCTTGCCTTCTCACTCCCACCACACCATTCTTGAAGCTCTTATCAATCAAAACTCCTACTCTATTTTTATTCGCGACTGTCCCTGTGTACCAAAGCTTGAAACCTGTATTGTCCACCTCCTTCGCCTTCTGACCCTTCCATTTAGTCTCTTGAACGCATAATATATTTACACGCCTCCTAGTTGCGGTATCAACTAATTCTCTTAACTTACCTGTAAGTGACTCTACATTCCAACTACCTAAACGGATCCTAGTTGGTTCGACTAGCTTCCTTACCCTTCGCACCCGTAGACTCAGATGCGAAGACCCTTGCTCATTTTTCACTACACCCGGGCGCCGATGTAGCGCGCCACTAAGGAAGCGACGACCCGATCCTTGCTCACTTGACACCATGCCCAGATCACGACACGGCGCGTCACGGGGGTGACGACCCGGCCCTTGCCCATTTAACACCATACCCGGGTTCCGATATGGCGCGTCGCTAAGAGGGTTACGCCCAACGATTTTCTTTCGGGTTTCATCTCCATTAAAGTGGCTAAGTTTTTACATTGGCTCGCCACGCCTAACACAACCCTCCTCCTTTACCAGGGCTTGGGACCTGCTATGCTGGGATACCAAAGGCGCACCACCATAGGCGGAGCTAAATTTCGGATACATGATATTTAAAAAAAAATACATTACACATCTAGATCCAGTTATCCTCTAAAACTTCAAAAAAGAGCAACCTAAAACAAGAATAACTATTATTGTATCCCATACCTCCTTAATTCCCTTGAAATGGTAATTGTTCCTGGACAGAAGTGGAGAACCAACTGCATATGTGGAAAGAGCACACAAATCTTCCTTAATGTTCTATAAAAAAACATCCTAGCTAGAAATCAATGAAAGATCAGGTTCCACCTTATTGTTCGGAAATAACAAATTTCACGACGCATTCTGAAGATACAATATGGGTAGCAGCTTGATAGAATGGGTTATCTATGGAATGTGTCATACCGTGATGGTGTCCATGGACGCAGCATTCTCTATCTTGCATTGCATCTAGCAATGCACAAATTGTTCTCCACAGGACACTGTTCCCATCGTGTAATCACTTTCTCCGATCACCAACAACACTCTGCAGAAAATAAATCAAATGGAACAGGCGCTGCTGGCGTGGCAGTTTAGATGGAATATATATAGTGATTTGTAATTGATGAGAGAATGAAGTCGTATTCGTGTTTGCCCCCACGCTGCTAACCTTGCAACCTTCAGTCGGATTCTCCCACGCCTCCACCGATGGAGACACCATAGATTACCACTTACCAGCAAGCAATTCATGAAATGCTGTGGACGAAGATAAGGGAGAAACAGGCAAACATCAATTGAGATCACTAGACATGGAGGGGATAAACTTGCCGCGACGGGTCTCCGGCGGCACGGAGACCGGAGTCGACCCACGAAGTCAGCGATGGCCGTGCGCTTGGACGGCCCCGCACGCCCTCCGCCGCCGCCACCGCCACCGCCATGGTCACCGGGAAGCAAAACTGGCGCTGCCACGAACACCAAAAATCGGATGGAATTGGTCATGGAACGGCAGAAAAAAAAAAGATTGGTAGGCAAGCCAACCATAGACTGACACCTGTCGGGAAAGACGGCTAAGCTGTTCTGTCATGTTACTGCCAACCGGGTCCGCACCTCAGCACCGCGTCAGCGCGGCGCCGCGAAGGCGCCACTAGCTTACCTCACGGCGAGGTCGTCGTCTCCCATCTCAAAAAATCAAGTTGCTCGGCCCAGTGCTAGACCCTCGACCCACGAAATTCCAAGTCAACGGAGCTGCTGCCAGCTGCCTTCCGGCGGAAATGATTGTTCCAACATCTACCGCCGGGTGCCAGTTCATGAGGCGTCCACAAACCCGCGGGCGCAACTTCTCGGCACGTAAGGCTTTGGCTGCAGTCGATGACTTTCCACAGCTCCAAACCCGACCGAACAACGTGCGTGGACGTTTTCTTCCCAATATCCGAATCATGCCAATCCAATCCCCATCTGCGAAAGCGTCTGCCGTGTTGCCCCATTCGTGCCGTGCACCGCGTGGCGTCTAGCGTCCGCATATTCTTCCTTTATAAGCTTCAAAGAACTCTCCTTTTTTTTCAGATTCCTCGTTCGCCTGCTGCACGCTCACCATCGTCCCCGATGGCTGAATGCCTGGAGCCCCTGTTCGGATGTCTGCAAAGCACGGGCATGCTCGAGGCAGCGGGCCGGAAGATGGCCGCGTTCCTTCGCATCAAGTCAAATTGGGGCGACCTCGAAAAGGCCCGGGACAGCCTGCGGGCCGTCGAGACGACGGTCAGGGCGGCAGTCATGGCGGAGGAGGACAAGCTGAACGTCTGTGATCCTCAGGTGGAGGTGTGGCTCAAGCGCGTCGATGAGCTTCGCCAGGACACCATCGATGAGGATTACACCAGTTTGTTGGGGTTCTCTTGCCTCTGCCAGTGCACCGTGCACGCTCGTCGCCGCGCCTCGATCGGCAAGCGTGTTGTGGAGGCGCTGGAGGAGGTGAAAAAACTGACCGAGGAAGGGAGGCAGTTCAGGACATTTGGCTTCAAGCCACCGCCGAGGGCCGTCAGTCGGTTATCCCAAACCGAGACCGTTGGGTTGGAGCCGATGTTGGCTCGGGTCCATGATTTGCTTGAGAAGGGCGAGTCAAGCATAATTGGTGTGTGGGGTCAAGGAGGCATCGGCAAGACGACTCTCCTACACGCCTTGAACAATGATCTCGAAAAGAAAGATCACAACTATCAGGTACTATTTTGCTTCCTCCAAAGCTGCAATTTACTCATCAGAATATACGTGAATCTGCTTATTTGTCTTCCTTTTTTGAATTGCATATATAGGATTGCTTCAATGATGAATTTAATGGTGCTTACATTCGTAGTGTATTCAGAATGATATGCAGAACGAACATAAATTAAACTGCAAAAGTTTTGAGTTTCAGACTTTCAGTTATGGGAGGGAACTGCTGTTGTCCTTGTATAGACAAACATTTCTGGCACATGTATAGTAGCTAATATGTTGTTCACGGGTACTAGTTCAAACTGAAGATGTTGCAGCTTCAAATGTAAACTATGAATATTTTGTATTTACATGAACTATGCTTATCAGACAGGAAGAAGAAAGTAGCACCACCGTTTTTTACAGCATGAAATGGATGTGACTGTTTTGTGTGTAACAAGTTTTTTAAGGTTCCTCTAAAAACTTTTTTTTTGGGACAGATGCAATTGGAGAAAATATAATGACACTGTCTTATTCTCCAGAGATTTTATCTATTTTTAGTCAGCATTCATATTTCATCTCTCTATATTGTATACATGACCTTGTCAGGGTGGGGGATCAAGATTTCTATTTTGTATTTCAATCATATCAACAGATTACTTTTGCACTGCAATTAATTTTATATCTTTCCTTAAATTGGGTATTCCAGGTTGTTATCTTTATTGAAGTATCCAATTCAGAGACCCTGAACACAGTGGAGATGCAGCAGACTATCTCTGATAGGCTTAATTTGCCTTGGAATGAATCAGAGACAGTTGAGAAACGGGCCAAATTCTTGGTGAAGGCACTGGCCAGGAAGAGATTTCTAGTGCTGCTTGATGATGTAAGGAAGAAATTCCGACTGGAGGATGTCGGTATCCCGACTCCAGACACCAAGAGCGAAAGCAAGCTGATCCTGACATCACGTTACCAAGAAGTATGCTTCCAGATGGGTGCACAGAGGAGCCGAATTGAAATGCAGGTTTTGGATAATGATGCTGCCTGGGAGCTGTTCTTGAGCAAGCTGAGCAATGAGGCTTGTGCAGCAGTTAAATCCCTGAATCCCAACAATGTTGTTCGGGAGCACGCCAGGAAAATATTCTTAAGCTGTGGAGGTCTGCCACTCGCACTCAATGTCATTGGGACTGCTGTGGCAGGCTTGGAAGGACCCAAAGAATGGATGTCAGCCGCGAATGACATCAATATGTTGAACAATGAAGATGTGGATGAAATGTTTTATCGGCTGAAATACAGCTATGACAGGCTCAAACCCACTCAACAACAGTGCTTTCTGTATTGCACTCTGTTCCCTGAATACGGATCTATTAGTAAGGAACTACTAGTAGATTATTGGCTAGCTGAAGGTTTGCTACTCAATGATTGTCAAAAGGGTGATCAGATAATTCAGAGCCTTATTTCAGCATGCTTGTTGCAGACCAGTAGTTCAATGTCATCAAAGGTAAAAATGCATCATGTAATCAGGCATATGGGGCTTTGGTTGGTTAACAAGACAGATCAAAAGTTTCTCGTTCAAGCAGGGATGAATTTGGATGGTGCTCCATCACCAGGAGAGTGGAAAGAAGCTACAAGGATCTCCATCATGTCTAATGACATCAAAGAGCTTTCTTTCTCACCGAAATGCAGAAGCCTCACCACATTATTAATCCAGAATAACCCAAATTTGAACAAGCTGAGTTCGGGATTTTTCAAGTTTATGCCTTCTTTGAAAGTGCTAGATCTTTCTCACACTGCAATAACGTCACTTCCAGAATGTGAAACATTGATTGCATTGCAGCATCTCAATTTGTCACACACAAACATTAGGATATTACCTGAGAGGCTGTGGTTATTAAAAGAGTTGAGGCATCTGGATCTCAGTGTGACTGCTGAACTCGAAGATACCTTGAATAACTGCTCAAAGTTGCTCAAGTTAAGAGTGCTTAATCTCTTTCGCAGTCACTATGGTATTAGTGATGTCAACGACCTGAATCTGGATTCCCTGAAGGCACTAATGTTCCTTGGAATCACTATTTATGCAGAGGACGTGTTAAAGAAACTGAACAAGACTAGTCCTTTGGCAAAGTCAACATTTCGTCTGAATCTCAAGTACTGTAGAAAAATGCATTCGCTCAAAATCTCCGATCTCAACCACTTGGTGCACCTCGAGGAGCTGTATGTCGAGTCGTGCTATAATCTAAGCACACTGGTTGCTGATGCTGAGCTGGCAACTTCAGGCCTGGAGCTCCTGACCCTCTCAGTTCTTCCTGTGCTGGAGAACGTCATTGTTGCACCAACGCCCCACCATTTTCGGCACATCCGCAAATTGGCCATTTCGAGTTGCCACAAGCTGAAGAACATCACATGGGTCCTCAAACTCGAAATGCTCGAGAGGCTTGTCATAACCAATTGTGATGGGTTGCTCAAGATCGTTGAAGAAGATAGCGGTGATGAGTCAGAGACAATGCTGGGTCATCCTTCTGAAGAACAGGAAGATAAGTGGATTGATGATGGTCAAAGTGCGTGCAATAGCGGTGACAACACGCATGCAGAGTTCCTGAACCTAAGATCAATCGTGCTGACTGATGTCAAGATGCTGAGAAGTATCTGCAAGCCAAGAAATTTTCCCAGCCTTGAGACCATCCGGGTGGAGGATTGCCCGAATCTGAGAAGCATCCCGCTGAGCAGCACGTACAACTGGGGGAAACTGAAGCAGGTGTGCGGTTCAGTTGAATGGTGGGAGAAACTGGAGTGGGAGGACAGGGAGGGCATGGAGAGCAGGTTCTTCATTCCGATCTGACAGGAACAGCGGTTGCTGCGTCATTGGCACAATGCTGGCACGAATAAGCCGTTCGCAATAAGCTGTATATGCTGCGATGAGTTGTTTGTAAATGTAGGCAGTCTGTGTGTGTGTGTGTGTGTATATATATATATATATAATAATTGCTGGGGTTCACAAATCTGTACATGATTTGATTCATTCATTCATTGCTGTAAATGCTATCAATAAAATTCCATTTGTTAACTGGCATAAAAAATATTATTCTGTATTTTCATTCAGAACGGATTGATGGGTGAATTCAACCCAATATATTATTCTGTTCATTTCATTCAGTCGGCAAACGTGCTTACCTGCAAAGGCACAAGCCGGACAGGCGGAGCGACGACAGGCAGCCCTCCAATCCCCTGCAAAAGACATTAGCCGTGGGCCGTGGCAGCCCACGACGATTCCGCTGCCGAAAGTCTCGCTCGGCGCAAAAGCCCTGCCCCGTCAGGCAGTCACCGAACGAACGGCACATGAGGCGGCCGCGGCCGTGCGCACATGCATTCCGCTTCCGCCGCCGCCCTCCGCGCCGCGCCCAAGCCGAGACCCAAGCAGCACCCTCTCCGCTCCTTTCCGGCATCCGCGAGCGCGGACGCGGCGGGTGGTGATCACCACCCCACGGCCTACTACGCCGCCCTCCTCGGCTCGCTCTCCCGGGAGTGCCGGCACGCCCACCACCCGTTCGACGCGAGTCCTAACCGAACTCATCAGGCGCGGGCATGCGGGGTCCTGCACGCACGGATCCTGCGCCTCGGCCTGCCCCTCCGGGGCCGCCTCGGCGACGCGCTCGTCGACCTGTACGGCAGGTCCGGCCGCGTGGGCTACGCCTGGCGCGCGCTGGGCTGCTGCACCGGGGCTCCAGTGTCAGGCGCGGTGGCGAGCTCGGTGCTGTCCTGCCACGCGCGGTTAGGGACCCCTCGGGACGTTCTCGATGCGTTCCAGCGTATCAGGTGTTCCATTGGCGGCACGCCGGACCAGTTTGGCCTTGCGGTGGTTCTGTCCGCGTGTTCGCGGCTGGGTGCTCTCGAGCACGGCAGGCAGGTGCATTGTGACGTGCTGAAGAGCGGGTTCTGCTCCAGTGCCTTCTGTCAGGCGGGGTTGGTGGACATGTATGCCAAATGCGGTGAGGTCAACGATGCGAGGAGGGTGTTTGATGGGATTGCTTGCCCGGACACAATATGCTGGGCTAGCATGATTGGGGGTTACCATCGGGTTGGACGCTACCAGCGAGCGCTGGCTTTGTTTTCTAGGATGGAGAAGATGGGCTCTGTCCCAGACCAGGTAACCTGCGTTACTATCATTTCCACTCTTGCAAGCATGGGCAGACTGGTCGATGCGAGAACTTTGCTGAAGAGGATACAAATGCCAAGCACGGTTGCTTGGAATGCTGTTATCTCAAGTTACTCACAAAGCGGTCTTGAGGGTGAAGTGTTTGGCCTGTATAAGGATATGAAGAGACAGGGATTGATGCCAACTAGGTCCACTTTTGCGAGCTTGCTAAGTGCAGCAGCCAACATGACAGCATTTGATGAAGGTCAGCAGATGCATGCAGCGGCAGTAAAGCATGGTTTAGATGCAAATGTTTTTGTGGGCAGTTCACTGATCTACCTGTATGTGAAACATGGATGCATCTCTGATGCAAAGAAGGTGTTTGACTTCTCCACTGAAAAGAACATTGTCATGTGGAATGCAATGCTTTATGGGTTTGTTCAAAATGAGCTCAAAGAAGAGACCATTCAGATGTTTCAGTATATGGGGAGGGCTGATCTTGAGGCTGATAATTTTACATTTGTGAGTGTCCTTGGCGCGTGTATTAACTTGGTTTCACTTGATTTAGGTAGGCAGGTACATTGTATAACAATCAAGAACAGCATGGATGCAGACTTGTTTGTTGCTAATGCAATGCTAGATATGTACTCAAAACTTGGAGCAATTGATGTTGCGAAAGCACTGTTCAGTCTCATTCCAGGCAAGGATAGTGTATCCTGGAATGCTCTTATAGTTGGGCTTGCACATAATGAAAAGGAGGAAGAAGCGGTCTATATGCTTAAAAGGATGAAGTTCTACGGTATAGCACCAGATGAGGTGTCTTTTGCAACTGCAATTAATGCCTGTTCCAACATTCGGGCTACTGAGACTGGAAAGCAGATTCATTGTGCATCTATCAAGTATAATGTCTGCACAAATCATGCTGTTGGCAGTTCTCTGATTGACCTGTATTCAAAGTTTGGAGATGTAGAATCTTCTAGGAAGGTTTTGGCACATGTGGATGCAAGCAGCATAGTTCCAATAAATGCGCTAATTACAGGTCTTGTGCAGAACAATAGAGAAGATGAAGCCATAGAGTTATTTCAGCAAGTGCTAAAAGATGGTTTCAAGCCGTCTAACTATACATTTGCAAGCATCCTTTCTGGGTGTACTGGACCTGTCAGTTCAGTTATTGGCAAACAAGTCCATTGTTACACACTGAAATCTGCTCTTTTGAATCAGGATACTTCACTTGGCATCTCTCTGGTTGGAATATATTTGAAGTGGAAATTGCTTGAGGATGCAAACAAACTCTTAGCAGAGGTGCCAGATCACAAAAACCTGGTTGAGTGGACAGCTACTATTTCAGGGTATGCTCAAAATGGTTACAGTGATCAATCTTTGGTGATGTTTTGGAGAATGCGCAGTTATGATGTTCGTTCAGATGAGGCAACATTCGCTAGTGTTCTGAAAGCTTGTTCTGAGATAGCAGCTCTTACAGATGGAAAAGAGATACATGGCCTCATTATCAAATCTGGTTTTGTTTCTTATGAAACTGCAGTCAGTGCCCTCATGGACATGTACTCCAAGTGTGGCGATGTTATTTCTTCCTTTGAAATCTTCAAGGAATTGAAAAACAAGCAAAATATAATGCCATGGAACTCCATGATTGTTGGTTTTGCGAAAAATGGTTATGCAAACGAGGCACTTCTTCTCTTCCAGAAGATGCAAGAATCACAACTAAAGCCTGATGAAGTCACACTCCTTGGTGTTCTCATTGCTTGTAGCCATGCTGGTTTAATTTCCGAAGGCCGGGATTTCTTTGATTCTATGAGCCAAGTTTATGGGATAGTGCCCAGAGTAGATCACTATGCATGTCTCATTGATCTACTTGGGCGTGGTGGTCATCTTCAAGAAGCTCAAGAAGTTATTGACCAGTTACCCTTCAGAGCTGATGGTGTGATCTGGGCTACATACCTTGCAGCATGTCAAATGCACAAGGATGAAGAAAGAGGGAAAGTTGCAGCAAAGAAACTTGTTGAGATGGAACCACAAAGCTCATCCACGTATGTGTTCCTTTCAAGCTTGCATGCTGCGGCTGGTAACTGGGTCGAAGCTAAGGTAGCCAGAGAAGCAATGCGAGAAAAAGGGGTGATGAAATTTCCAGGGTATAGTTGGATCACAGTGGGTAACAAAACAAGCTTATTTGTTGTACAGGGCACACATCATCCGGACACTCTGAGCATCTACAAAATGCTTGATGGTCTAACTGGAATGATGAATAAAGATGACAGAATTGAGGAATATGATCTGCGTAGCCTGTGTGGAATGCTTACTTGAGGGATAATGACCCTGTTTAACTAATATATCATGCTAAAGGATTAAGGGCTTAGATTGATCTTCTAACTCATCATGGACCTTAAGTAGATGTCTGGTTGTTTAGGTGAGGAATTTGGTACCCTTGCATAGTATATGTAATACATTCACTTATATAAATTAAGGATTTAGGCTTTGATCACTTAATGTTTATATGTTTTATCATCTGGGCTCCAAGCATTAAGATAACTACAAGGTTTATTGGTTTTTTCAAGGTATCTTTATGAGTTTCTAGTGATGAAATTTGATTTGTGCAGGTTCATTTCTGGTTTTCTTCCCCCTCCATGAAGTCTTTTCTGCTTTAGCTATAAGCCTCTGTGTGCTCATAAGTCATAACTTTTTGTATATATAGATATGACTGAGATTGTCTGTGAAGGGCATCAGAATGAATCATGCATACTGCCTCACTCTATAGGATATGCAAATGGTCCAAGACTCCTAGTTTCTGTAGAAGAAAGAACAGCAGACTGCTATTTCTTATCTGGTAAGGGAAACTTCTATTCAAGTTAATTGGTCAGGGAAGCATCTATTCAAGTTACCTGTTTGACAAACATAGATCAAACACTCATACTTGTTTTGTTTGACCTCATTACTCAATAATATAGTCAGCTAATGAATAATTTTATCAAAAGACATGTGAAAAACAGTGGAGTCTGTCTGTTTCAGCGATATACCCTGTTAGTAAAAATCCCAGATCTAGAAAATCAACATATTTTCACAGTTGTTGCTGGCCATGGTTCATTTAATTGACTGCAGACATACTAATTTTTCATGCACTGATTCTAATTAAAGAACGAGTTGTTTGCACTTCATTTTAAGAACTAACTGCAGGTAATCACAAAGATTTTTTTTTCAGAAGTGCCATATTTCACAAATTCGTTCCATGATATAATATTTGACGTTATCTAAAACAACATGTTGCCTTTCAGGATGTATGCTAGCAGTTCAATTTTTTGTACATGTATAAAAGAAATCATGTTTAAAGCACTATTCCAAAACATAGGTGGCAAATGGCTGCATGCTGTGAAATCGAAGTTGGTGTTGGTGTTACAAGTCCAGGGCTCCAGGTAGGAAAGAACACCAACATAGCTTTTGAGATTATCACATACTTTTGTGAAGAGATTGTAACAAATGAAATATTAATAGACATGTTAATTTTACTGGCCTTATTTGGGAAAGTATCCCCTTTCTTAATATGTTTTCATCCCCTATTGTGTACCATAAAAGTATTACACTGTTGCTATGCCTCTGCTTTCTGCAGGACAGCAGTCCACTCAAAATTGCCATCTGAAAGCATTCTTCAATTCTGTGATAAAACTGAATATTTTGCTAATATCTACACATGCTGCTATATGGTCACAAACAAGGCAGATGTTGCTCTAAGTCTTACTTAACTTGCCATTACTTTCTTCCCATCACAAACATCACATAAAATGGAACCAACTCCTTCACAGTATGGGCACTTTGTATCTTCACCAACCCACTCCAAGAACTGCATTTTGAGGAAAAGTTAATTTTGAATGCATTCATATAAGGAAGAGCAAAATTTAACTTAATTGATGGTATGATGCATTTGTGCAACAGGAGGCTACAGTACCTGCGGTTCAATGTTCGGCTCACCTGTTCCATCACATTCTGCAGGAAAGAAGAAACAAATTAGGACTAATGAAAAGCAATGCAACGATCCTGCTCACTTTTCAGTACACGGTTGAGAAAAAATTAAGGTAAGCATGATAGTCAGCCATTGTTTCACATGTCATTTCTTACTTTACATCAGATATCAAATAGGGATTGAGATCACAATAAAAAGTGTGCCTGAAAACAGTTTCATTGCATTCAGTTTTGTTAGAATTCAGAATAGTGGAACTACAAACACTTGCTATTTTAGGTATCTGACAAAAATCTACGTACTATGGTCCAGGTTCCAGAGATTATGAGTTGTACATACGGAAGCTGAATATGCAGTTGTACACATTAGTGCAACTAGTAGGGTTTATTACCTAAGCACATGAGGCGCCCTTCACCTCGACAGGAGATGCATGTCTTGGTTGATGCAGTAGTGCCGGTGCTGACTGGTTTTTTATTCTGCGTCAGTCTGGCTGGGTCTTCCCACCTGTTTTCACCAAGAAGAAACACTCTGTGTTCGGAGACCCCAACTCCCAAGACACCATTTTCTGTAACCACAGTTTTCTGAACCTCCGCGATCCCTGTTACAGCAGGAACAGCTGCTCCGTTTGTGCCATCCTAGAAGAAAATTGGAATCTCAGTGCACACCCAAACCAACTGTCATGACTCATGACTGCACTACTAAACTTACTGTTCTATGCATCCCGATGTACAAAACCTATTAGTTTACAAGAAGCTCTTCCTGTAACGCAGAAGGTAACTGGAGAGTTTATTTGGTTCCGAAAGTATTTATTTCGTTCTGATTTATATGTGTAATCATGGTTTAGGGTTTAGGGCCATATTGGCCTAAACTCACTTCCATTTTCGCATCTTCCCCAGTCTTCCCTGAGAATAGCCTCTCAAGTAGCTCCGACGTCATGACCCCGTTCTCTGAAGTTCCTACCGTTGCCTGAAAGAGAGTTCGTATCATCAAGTAGCATAAATGTAACATAGCGTGAAGGATAATATTCAGGAGTACAGTATTACTAACCTGCCATGTCTTGACAGCTCGGTCGGTGCCAGATGAGAAAGTAGAGTACTCCATGTCTTCCTCGCCCGAGTAAAAACCGAGCTTCAGCAAAGCTTCCTGCGTCACGCAAAAATGCAGTTAGTTTTTGTACCGACAATCATTCGTCTACTACTAGTAAACTATCGTAGGATTCATGAGACGTTTTACAATTCAAAGCTAGCTGTTTGATTGCAAACGCTGCAAAATTTTCTACAGAAAAATCTGGCCGCGTAGAGAGAGAGCATTGCCACCTATACTAGACCCTGGTAACAATCACAGTCACAGACACAGACACAGACACAGGGGTGCCCGAACTGGAACAACACTGCTGGGCCGGGCCGTGGCACCTCACTACCTCAGCCGACGCACCCACCCAGATACACGCACGGCGTGCAACACGAATCCTAGCCAGAACGAGAGGCCTGCGACGACAGCACGGCTCACCTGCATCGCGCGCACGTCCTCGCCCTCGCCCCCGCCCTCAGCGTCCTCCTGCTCTTGCTGGCACCTGCGCCGCTCCCAGCCTCGGCCTTGGCCACCGCCACCTTCTTCTCTTCGACCACCACCACCTCCTTCCTCACCTCGACCGCGGCCTCCTCGACGAGCACCGGCCTGGGCTGCAGCGCGGGCACCGCGGCCGGGGGCGCGGGCGAGGCCACCACGGCGTCGGCGGCGACCGCGAGGTGATCAGCAGGGCGAGTGCCCTCGAGCGTGCGGAGGCGGAGCCGCAGCGCGGCGGCCTCGGCGAGGAGGGCCTCGTGCTCGGCGCGCCAGCGCGACTCCTCGCGGAGCCAGCGCTGCTCCTCCCGCAGCCAGCGCTGCTCCTCGCGGAGCCACCGCGCCTCCTCGCGCTCCTCCCAGGACGACGAGGGGCCGGTGGCGCGGGCCAGGAGGACGGCGGAGGCGCGGCGCGGGCAGCTGGGCCGGAGGCGCGGGTGGTGGAAGGTGGTGGAGACGAACGGGAAGGCGGCGGTGGCCGCGCCTGCGGCGGCGGCGATCATCGTCGTCGGGGATTAGGCAGTGGGTCAGCGGGACCGGGAGTGAGCGGGCAGGGTGTGACGAGGCTAGCCGTGGATATTTCTCTGCCGCGGCGGCTGATATTTGCCGCCGGAGCTACTGTATCTGCGCCAACTCCGCAAAGGTGAAAGCCTGAAAGTGAAAGGTGTGTGGCGTCGCGCGCGCCCGGCCAGGCGGCCATGAAACAGCGGGCCGATCGAATCGACCTTGGGCTGGTCAGATCAGATGGGCCGATTGGGGCTGCTCTTGCTCAATTCTTTTTGTATAAGATTGGGCCCAGCTGGAGCATAGCAGCAGCCCAGAAGAAAAACCGGAAAGTCATGACATGAACGTGGAAAAAGGTCATGACCATGAAAGCGAATTTTTCGAGGGAAAAAGGTTTTCAACTCATAATGTGACGTTTCGGAGTATTTGTCGAGTACTGCAGAAGCAGAAGGAGGCCAAGATAAGACACGAACGGTGATCGATTGCTCATGAGTCACGTTAGGTGTACATACATACATCAACATCATCCTGGAGAAAACATCGAACATGCAGACAACGCCGAGACCACCACACCCGTAAGTGTACTGTGCGCGTTAGTGGATCAAAACAAACGCAGGCATGTGAACATGCGCGGTTACAAACGTGCTCTGTTTGCGGATGAAGCTTTTGTTCTTGACTTGACGTGGAGAGGCAATCCAGTCGACCAGTCCGCTTCATCCATCCGTGCTCGGCGGCGAGACGCGCACGCTTTCCCGTGCGTCGCGTGGACGGTAACAGCTCAGGGAGCTCTCTCTCTCTCCGCGCGCCTGCGTCAAACCACCCGCGCGGGCCTGCGATTTCTTCCACATGAGGCCGGCCGGGTCGGTGAATCGATCTGTCAGCGTCGTATCGGATTATCTGCTCGCGGCGAGGTAACAACACCTCGCCGAGATTTGGCGGACGGAAAAGGTACCTCCTCATCAGTGGCTGCCGCTTAGCCTGTTCGCTTACTTGTATATGATCGTGGATTATAAGTTGAAATAATATTTTTCTCTCACACTAAACCAGGCAGTAGTAAATAATCCACGATCGTTTACGACGAAACGAACATGTTGTTCATCGCACCCGTCACGCAGCAAGTAAGTACAAACACGGTACAGCGCCTGAGTTTTCTTTTCATCTTGACTCTGGGAGCCTCTCCTGGGGTGGGGTGAGGCTATCCACCTTCCACACTGAGCGATCGTCGTCGCGAGTTCACGACACACGCGTCGCAGCGCGAGAAGGCGAGAAAACCGTGACAGAAACAATCCGTGCCGCGCCTCGCCAAAGAAGACGACGATGGACAAGGATACAGGAAAAACTCCCTTTCCTTGCCCCCTCTGTTCTGTTCTGAAATAGAAGTCGTCCTCGCTTCCGATAAGACATTTTTTTATCAATCCCAACAAGGCAAGTACACAAGACAACAAGCCTGCAACGCTCTTGCTCCTTGCACCACGACCACCTCAGCCTATATATATCCAGCACCGAAAAAAAAGCGGATGGGGAAATCGGCGTGGCGAGGAGATCACATGAAAAGGTCGGACGACCCTACTTTCTTTCTCCAGCAAACCCTTTCTGTGATCACCCACCTCGCCCAATAACGTCGTCATTCAAGAAGCCAAGTAAACTAGACAAGGGAAAGTATAGTGTGTGCATGCACGCCGGCATGGCGGCCGGTAGCTGGCCCAGGGCCAGTGCGTGGCGGCTCTTGCTCGCCGGCGGCGCTTCGCTCCTGTGGCTGCTTGTTGATCTCCCATGGGCCACGGCGGCGGTCCGCCGGAGCGACTTCCCGGCGTCTTTCCTCTTCGGCACCGCCACCTCCTCGTACCAGGTGATCGACTTAATTTAGCTAGCTGCCTCTCCGCCTCTATCATTTCATTTGTCTCCATCTCTGTTGCCGAGCGCATGCACACGCAGGCGGTTATTTTGGCGTTGGCCTCCGATCCTGTGCGGTGAAGGTATAATAACAAAAAAGGAATAAAAAACTTGCGGTTGGTTTTCACTACTTGTGGTCTCTTCAGCTATTCAGATGAGAAATAAGTGGGCAACATAGGAAGAATCGCATTCACATCGACCATATACATACACATCGTTCTGAGGCGGCTAACCTATTTGCAGGGCTGCGATGCTTGTTAATGGGCCCTATTGAGCTTCACCTGATTACAGGCCCAAGCACTTGCGTTGCCGCAGGATGTGTTTTGATGCTTTTGGCTGCCTTTCTTTCTTTAGATATATATATATAGAAGAAACATTAGTCCATATATTAATTACCATTATACACATACTGTATAGTGTAGAATTTAAACTTATTTTAGGTTCATAATTGAAGTCAAAGACAGTAAACGAAAGACCATCTATCCAACATGTAGTAGCAGCTTGCATGCGTCAAGAATCCATTTATTGCTTGCACTTGACCATTGTAATAAAGTCCAAGATCATAAATTGTGTGTCTCCCTGAAAAGAATCTTAAAAAATCTAGATGGCCTTTATTAAACATCACCTCATTCCTTATGATCTATATTGCTTTTGGCGGCCGGCATGTGAAATGATGAATTGCTACTGATATTATGATTATTATCTATGATGAATATTATGAATGAACATGATGAAGAATATAAAGAAAATTTAATAAACCATGCTGATCGATGTAATCTTCTTTTCACTTCTAGATCGAAGGCGCATACCTCGAGGGCAACAAGAGCTTAAGCAACTGGGATGTCTTCACTCATACACCAGGTAAATCATCAATTCTTTATCTAAAAAAGGGTAAATCATCAACTACACATTCTTAAAGTGAGAGCAGAACTACTACCACTCTGTTAAGCTGAAAACTACCGTTGTACACTCTGTTAATTGAAATACTTCCACGCACATGTGACGCAGTGGTAGTAATGTGTTTCAGAAAGAATCAAAGATGGAAGCACCGGAGATATTGCGGATGATCACTATCATCGTTACGAGGTCCAATGTTACAAATATAACAGCATTTATAAACTAAAAAATAGTTTTATTTTTGGTGTGTGGATAAACCTGAAGTGCCCCCAATCTTGCTTCATTCATCACAGGATGACATTGAGCTCATGCACTCTCTCGGCACGAACGCCTACAGATTCTCGATATCATGGGCCAGAATTCTTCCAAGTGAGTTAGTTTGCTTAAAAACTTCATCGTTTCTCAGTCGATAGATTCTCGATCGACGAAATCTTTGCAAAAAATGTTTCTTTTGCCGAGGGTAGGAGGAAGATTCGGCGAAGTCAACCCAGCAGGCATCGCGTTCTACAACAGAGTCATCGATTCGCTCCTGCTCAAAGGTATCACCCGGCCGTAACCACTTTCTCGTCACCTGGGATTATATCTCTTCTGAATCCTAACGTACACGTTTGTTTTTTGCTGGATCGATCGGGCACAGGAATAGAGCCATTCGTGACGCTGACACACTACGACATCCCGCAAGAGCTGGAGGACAGGTACGGTGCGTGGCTCAGCGCCGAGGCACGGCACGACTTCGGCCACCTGGCGGACGTGTGCTTCGCGGCGTTCGGCGACCGCGTCAAGCACTGGGCCACCTTCAACGAGCCCAATGTCGCCGTGACCAAGGGCTACATGGTCGGCACCTACCCGCCCGAGCGCTGCTCGCTGCCGTTGGGCTCCTGCGCCCGGGGGAACTCCGACGCCGAGCCCTACGTCGCCACACACAACGTCGTCATGGCCCACGCCACCGCCGTCGAGATCTACAAGAGGAAGTACCAGGTACGTACTCCTACAAGGTCGTGCTGGTTCTTCAGTCGTCGTTCGCTCCACCCTGTTTTATTTTGGGCCAATTGAAACCTGCAGAGCAAGCAGAAGGGCATGATCGGCATTGTGATGTCCGCTATCTGGTTCGTGCCGCTGACGGACGCGCCGGTGGACCGGCTGGCGACTGAACGGGCACTGGCCTTCGACGTTCCATGGTAGGGCACGGCACTCCAGAGATCACCCAAGTAATGCATTGCAAACGTCCTGCACCCTGCAAAACATAACACTAGAGGTGGATGTAACGTTAGTTTATTTACAGAGCGTTTGTTTGTTTCCAATTATATCGCTTGCTGCAGGTTCCTTGACCCAATAATCTACGGCGACTACCCTCCGGAGATGCGACAGCTGCTGGGCTCCAAGCTGCCGACCTTCTCGCCGGAGGAGAGGAGGAAGCTGGGTTACAAGCTGGACTTCATCGGGATCAACCACTACACGACGCTGTACGCCAAGGACTGCATGTTTTCGTCAGGTTGCCCGTCGGGGCAGGAGATCCATCATGCGCTGGCGGCATTCACCGGAGAAAGAAATGGAATTCCAATCGGACCCCCGGTAAGTGCTTTGTAATAATGCTTGCTTAGTGAAGGCGAGGTTCTGAGCGACTTGTGTGCCTGAACGCGCGCCTGAATGCCTCCTGCGTTTTGTGCAGACAGCGATGCCAAAGTTCTACGTTGTTCCGGATGGGATAGAGAAGATTGTCACCTACATCATGGAGAGATACAACAACCGTCCCATGTTCATAACCGAAAATGGTGCATCTATTAATTCAGCTTTGCAGCGCTGTTCATTTTCCGCGTTTCCCTGACGTTGAGAGTTGTAACTTACAGTTACTCAAATTCATTTCTTCAGGTTATGCACAAGGTGGAGATGATTATACCCATGTCGAAGATTGGCTGGACGACCAGGGCAGGATACAGTACCTCGATGGTTACCTCACAAAACTTGCCAAAGTTATCAGGTCAGTTGCATTTGATTTCCAATTTTACAGATTAATTATATGCGTGGACGAACTGTTCCCCAGCTAACATGTCTGAGTGAACTTGCTAGGGACGGCGCCGATGTTCGTGGCTACTTCATCTGGTCTCTCATTGACAATTTTGAGTGGTTATACGGGTACACCCTCCGCTTTGGGCTTCACTACGTTGACTACCAAACACAGGAAAGAAAGCCCAAGTCATCCGCGTTGTGGTACAAACGGTTCCTCCAAAGTTTACTTGAAGCTCAATAGAGAGGGTGCCTTGTTCAAATACTGTATAAGTGTGTGACGAGTGACGATGCTGCTTCTTCCCAGTTCAGAAAATAAAGAACTTGATATATGTACAAATTTATTGATCCTTAATAAAGGGCCATCACAATTGTCATCTCGGACGTCCAATCCCAAGAATAAAAGACTAGGGTGGAGCCAGGGGCGGAGCTAGGTTTTAAACTTAGGTGGGGCCATTCAAACCAGCAAGGCGGATCTAGGCCTCGGACTGCAGCCCGGGGCGCGGCTCAAAAATCCCTTTAATGGCTCCTTTGTTCAGCCCAAGATAGCCCATAAAAATATATACATTTAGCCCTACCGGACATGGCCCCAAAATCCCTTACACTATTTTCATCCCCACTTTGAGGTGTCCCTAGATCCGCCACTACAAATCAGCAACAACTACACGTGTCAAAAATACACGACAAAGGTATATGTAACAACCTAATATACATTTGTGTTACGATACAAAAGATAGCTAAAAAACTAAAAAAAGAAGGGAACAAAATTAATTAACCGCTTGCATTGGTTCCAATTAACATGCTTTGACTACATAACGATCCAAAAGTGACGGAAGGGGTGATTTTGGCGATCTGTAGGCGACGGCGAGTTGGCGATCTGTAGGCGACGACGAGTTCCAACCTAGGGTTTAAACTCTGGTTTGTTCTGTGCCGTGGGGAAGCGTCTGCTATTTTTCCCCTTCGTAAGGTGTTATAGAAAATAAAAAAATAAAACATTAAATAATAAAAAGAAAACAAAAATTAATTAGAATAAACACATGAAAATAAGGAAATCTATAGAAACAAGAAAATAAAGAGAGATAAAATAAATAGAAGAAAGGAACGAAAAATGAAATAATAATAATAATAATAAAACATTAAAATATAATATAAAATAGAATAGTAATTAACCAGTAGAGTAAAAAGAAAGATTAAAAATAAAAATAACGAAAATAAGAATAAGAAGACAACAGAAAACATAAAATAGAAATAGAATAAAAAGGAAACGCATCCTGGGAAACGCGGGAACTACAAGGACTACTGGTATCTCCGAACGCGGGTGCTCGCGCGCGTACGTGGGCCGCCGGCCACCTGATGTGCTGTCGTTCCTGTGTTCACGCGGTCTGGCGGTCGGGGCGCTTGTACCGAGGACGCGCGCGAGGGCGAGTCGGCGGCAGGGTCGGCAGGTGGCGTCGACCGGTCAGCAGCAATGATTAGCGCGTAACACATCCATGCAAGATTGCAAGTGTGTATGTGTAATTGTGTATGCCCTTGTTTAGTTCGTGAAATTTGGATTTCAGGGCTACTGTAGCACCTTCGTTTTTATTTGGTAAATAGTGTCTAAACATGGACTAATTAGACTTAAAACGTTCGTCTCGTAATTTCCCACCAAACTGTGCAATTAGTTTTTCTTTTCGTCTACATTTAATGCTCCATGCACGGGCCGCAAACATTCGATGTGACAGGTACTGTAGCAACTTTTTGGATTTTAGGGTCAACTAAACAAGGGCTATATCTACAACTTTACAATCTGTGATGGCGCTACCTCTCACTCAACCGCTCTTAATGGTCCCCACTGGCACCGACTATACGGAGGTGCAAAGTACCACCCAAGGTAAACGTTTTCCGGTGGCGAGTACCCCATGACTTTATACCTTATAGAGCAAATCTCCATCGTCGACATATTAAGCAAATAGGTGTGTGCTGCTTCTGTAGCATTGCTGAGGAGTCAACTTATCACGTGTTGACATAGTGTACGTATGCTATCAGTTTTTGGGACAAGCTCAAATCTCTCACGGGTATCAAACTTCCCAAGCTAAATCCGAGGACCTAGACAAGGGACTTGTTGGATACTTCTTGTCGTAAAGATGGAGACGAGAGGTGATCTTATGTGTTTATGTGGTCGCTCTGTAACTCCAGGAATGATCGGTGACATGGAAAATCTCCTACCGAACCAAGGCTAGCGTTGGAGTGGACGCTGGAGGCATGCCTCCACCTATCACCTGGCTCCCAAACTCCAAAAGATGGGAGACCACTACTACACAAACGATTATGCGCAGCGTTGCATTTTTGCACTCCGTGGCGGTCATCTATTTTTGCCCGCTGCGGTAGATGCCACGATTTACCGCGGCGGGCATTTTTTATTTACCGTGGCGGGCACTTTAGCCCACCATGGCAAATCGATTTATCGTGGCGGGCATCTTAAGATGTCCGCTATGGTACATAGGGCATTTACCGTGGCGGACGTCTTAAGATGCTCGCCACGGTAAATCGATTTACCGTGACGGGCATCCTATAAGGCCCGTCACATAAAATGCTGGCCCAATTTTGAGCCCAAATCAGCCGATCTACTGGGCTTCATATAAAAGGGAGGTGTTAGGGTTTCACCCACTGCTGCCATGAGATGGCCATGATGCCAAGGACTCTCAGCGGTGGTGGAGCTCGCCCTCCCTCACTCCTCTCCTCCCATCTCACCGCACCCTCTCCTTCCACTCCCGTCTCCCCTCCTCCTCACCTCTCACTCTCTCTTCCCTCCCTCACTCCTCTTGGCAGGGTGGTGGAGCTCGCCGTGGTGGCCTCTCGGCTGAAAGGTGCGGCGGCTCACCTCGGCCTCGTCGGCGCGGCGGCGTTCGGAGAGGAGGCGCACCTGCTGGCATGGCCGGCCTCTCGGCGTGGCGGAGGCCTTGCGGAGGCCCAGGCGG